CCTCGTCGAGTCGGCGACGTGCCCGTTGTGCCAAGCAGCGGAGGGCACGCTCGGGCACCTCTTCTGGGAGTGCCGGTGCACGGCGGCCCTTCGCCGGGAGCTGCCGCCAGCCGTGGTGCAGGCAGCCCAGAACGGCACCCTTCCGCGATGCCTCACACGGTGTGGTATTGTCTGTGAGCCGCCGGAGGTCCGCGAAGCTGGTGGCTGGCTGGCTGCCGCCGCGCCGGGCCAGGAGCAACTGCTGCGACAGTGGCGACTGCGGGTCTCTCAGCAGGCGTGGTATCGCGGAGGCTGGTTTGTGATTGCCACGGACGGGGCGTGCTGGAACCAGCAGCTGGGATGGGCTCGCCGGGCCGGTCTGGGCATCTACGTGGGCCCTCGGTGCGGCAACCTCAGTGCAGCTCTCCCCGGCATGGATCAATCCTGTGGGCGCGCCGAGCTCCTCGCCATCATTCTGGTCTTCGCCGAGGCCGGCCGGCTGGGGCTGCAGGTGGAGATCTTGACGGACTACGAGTGAACCGCCAACGCTTGGGCAGCGTGGAGCGGAGGCCCGTCCTTCCACCCCAGGGAGCAGCTGGATCTTTGGCGCCGCCTGGACCCTCGCGCGGGCGGCCCTCGCAGCAGGTTCCGCCCTCACCTGGGTCGCTGCGCACGGCCGTGCGGCACACGAGCAGGAGCTGAGGTGGAACAAACTTGTTGACGACCTCGCCGTGCAGGGGTCCAAGCGGCACACGGGCCTCCAGCGCCTGACCCAGGCCATCCGCCTGAAGGAGGCCAACCAGGAGAAGGCCCAAGCCGTTCAACGGCACATGGTGCGCTGCATCGTCCTGTGGGGCCACCAGGAGGAGGAAGAGGAGGAGGAGGAGGAGGAGGAGGAGGAGGAGGAGGATGAGGAGGGCGAGGAGGGCGAGGAGGACGCGCCAGGTGGGCCGGGCCCCGAAGACCTGGCAGCAGCTGACCCACCCAGTGGCGAGCCGGCCCCTTCCGGCGCTGCACTGGCGGCGGCGGCGCTCGAGCAGGCTGATTTCCCTCGGTACTCTTGGCAGCACCAGGCCAGGGCCACACGCCAGCTCATCCTGGGGCCCCCTGTGGCCCTCCACAGTGGGAATTGGATGATGGGGAGCCACGACAGATACCACGCCATGCGCTGGTACCTGGGCCAGCTCCGGTTCGACGCTGCCGCCTCCGAGGTTGGCACCACATGGGCCGAGCTGGCCGTGGATTTCGAGCTCAGCACTGGCGTGGAGCTAGCTCCGCCTGGCAGCGCCATGGCCGCGCGGGCCCAGAAGTTTGCAGATGTGGCCTCTCGTACCTGGCAGCTGTCCACGCCCAGGCAGCAGCGCCAACGCGGGGGCAACAGGCAACGGGCGCTCGGGGACCTCACAGTGGTCTCTCGGGTCACCGCCCTCGTGGCGCTCGGCTTCAAGCAGGGCCCGGGGGTGACCTCGCGTGCCATCTTCGCGCAGCCCTTCACGTATGAGGTGCTGCTGCGCGCGGCGCAGCGTGGGCAGGCAGAGAGGCGCCATGCTCACCCACAATGGCGGCCAGACTACGCAGGCGGCCCCGCACCGACCATGCCGGCAGCTGTCCGGCACGGACCGCCGGCGCCACCTGTGGCCGCTGCCAAGAGGGTGACGGCTGAGAGGATGGCTGCTGGGCACAACGCCGTCGCCGAGCGGAAGCGCCAGGAGCACAATGCCGTCGCGGACTCCCAGGGCCTCCACGTGCTTGGGCCCATTCCCCCGGGAGCTGACAACTCCCAGCCGGTCGTCTGTGAGCGCTGCGGGCGGCAAACGCAGAAGATGCGCCTGGCCAAGTTCAAGCGGGAAGCTTGCGCCGCAGCCTCGGGAGGCCGAGGAGGAGGAGGCGGGGCCGCGCCTGCGGTCCGCCGAGGAGGAGGGGGCGGAGGCCGAGGTGGAGGAGGAGGCTGAGGAGGGGGCGGAGGAGGAGGGCGCCACGCAGATTCCCCACAACCCCAAGATGCAGCCAGCCGATGAGGAGGAGGAGGAGGAGGAGGAGGAGGAGGAGGAGGAGGAGGAGGAGGAGGAGGTAGAGGGAGAGTGTCGCCAGGCAGCTTGGCTACCACAACCGGGAGATGCCGCGTGACGGTCGCCTTGCTGGGTGGCTGAATGGATGGTCTGCCGTTCCGTACTGGCAGAGCTTATTCTCCTTTGTCCTGCAGGTCAACACTGTGTCAGGTTCCTCGCAGAAGCACCGCCCCCGCCAGCAGGTGTTGAACGCGGATGGCGGGCTCACTCTCCTCCTGCTCGACTGGGCAACAGGCGTGCGACCGTCCAGAGCCCGACCGTCCGTGCGCTGCCCTGGCTCGCTCTGGACTGCCGCCGCCAGTGGCCGAGGTGCTAAAACAGCAATGGCTCCCACCGCTATCTCACCATCACTGTCCACTGTGGAAAGTCATCGGAACGACTCGCCCAGTAATGGCCTGTATCGCCGTTCTCATGTGTCGCCCTATCATCTGTTTATGCTGCACGACGCTTGATGTGAAGTTGATCTTCGGCAAGGACCCTGTTACGTGGTCACCCAGGACATACTGCACGCTGGTGACACCGCTCTAATCTCCGCGAGCTCGCCCTTACAGTGCATACTGAAGTCATCATAATCGACGGTGGGCGACCAAGATCGTGACCGAAGCTGTCTACCCTGGAGGAATGATCACTCATGACACCGTGTTGGAAGCAAATTTGCACGGCGACTTGGATAAGCCGCCCCTATAGTTCGATCATCATGTAAAGTTTGGAAGCACTTTGCCATCGAAAAAAAACAACATCGTCACGTGTATTACAGTTGTGTGTTAAGCAAGCTTTTGTATTCGCTGGGCTCGTTGTGGCTCCTGCAAAGCGACAAAGCCAGATTGGACGCGTTCCACTGCAAGAATGTGTGGGAGATCCTGAAGATCGCACCTTCTTAATTTCCCGGAATTCGAACACCGACGTGCTAGATCGAGCAAAATCCAAATACTTGTCTGCAACCCTGAATGACCGACAAGCTGCCTTACATAACAAAACCGCGTCGCATAACGATGGCTCACTAGTCAAACGATAGTGTGCGATGATAACGGCGTGCCAAACAAATTAGACCAGCCGCGAAAACCGGGGGCGCCCGAGACAGCCGTCAGTCTACAATTTGGGGCACACATCGTTGCAACTGTCCCATTCTCTCTTGCACAAATTTACGGAGGTTGCGAACATCCAAAAAGCAATGAAACGGAGCTCCACCACCTACCGTTCGTTGCCTTTTCTCGGCGGTAATCGAAAATGTGCGCCCACGCAAGTAGTTGTCGTATTCCGTCTTGCGCACGCCCAGGGCTGCCAGATCTTGGACGCGAGGCCAATACACGATACGAACTAAGGCATGGTTTGAATCACCCTCCGCCTCCGTACGAATATACATCCACGCCGAACTTTTCTCATGCATCTTTGCCCACTCGTCCGTCAGGCATGCAAGGCTACGGACAGACAGGGGGAGGGTCCTGAAGTTATGTATGATGGTACGAGAAGGGAAAAAGCGTGGGGGCAGTGGGTACGTGAGCGGAAATGCTCATATATGTTTGTTGAGGGGGGTGGGCTAGGGCTCAGGATCAGGTCTGGGGTTGGGGTTAGTGCTTCGGGCTAGGTCTAGGGTATTCAGGTTTAGGGCGTCGGGGCCAGTCCCCAAATTAGGCTGTAAGAGATTCTGGTTAGTCGTTACGGTGTTGTGCTGAGGGTGTTAGGGCTAGGTCAGCTGATTTCGCTGTGCGAGTTCGGCTGTTAGGGTGAGTAGTTTTACGGTCAGGGTATTGCTGGGTTGTCAGGGTGAGGGTTTCGGGTTACTGTGCTGGGGATGGGCATTATGTCTTGAGTTAAGCTTAGGTTAGTTGGATTCGTTTTTAGGGCTTGGGACTTAGGTTTGAGGCATGCTTGAGGTAAAGGGTACAGACTGGCGTGTGAGGGCTCATGACATGGGACTTTGGTAATCTGATTCGGAATCATGCTCAAGGTTCAACGTGAGATCACGGTAAAGCTAACAAAATACACCTTGTTGAGATATGGTGAGTGTGTACGGGTGTTAGGTGCGTGGGGTGATGCGTTACGGTTTTCGGGGGTGGGTCTGGGTGTCATGTTAAGAGTTGGGGTAGCCGTTTTGATTTATTATTAGATTTGGTTAGGGTGTCAGGGTGTGTTTTAGGGCGCGAGATAGAGGGGAAGTGCTGGGATTAGGATGAATGCTGAGCCTCCGAACGAGGCGAAGCCACTGTACAATATCGTGATCAAGACGAGCTTTTCCAGAAGAATAGTGCAGTCGCAGTCCTATTGATTCTGCTGGATCCACGTGTGGCTACTATGAATCATTTCTCAGATGAAGTCTGACAAGCGTTACCTGCCAGGAAGCTCTTGGCTCTGGGATCAGGGCTCATGTCCAAAGTGGAGGCGATGAAACCAAGAACGGGGTGAGAGGGAAACAAGGCCCAATCCTCAAAACCGTGCCTGCGACGAACCTCCGAAGTAGCTTAAGCATCCGATAGACCGACGCGGCCTAGGATGCACTCCAAGCGTTTTAGTAGACATCTGCGTGGCAAACCTGCAGCAGAGGGAGCTGAACATGAAACGCACACACAGGAATCACACACGTCTCGCCCTAACCTTCTCGCCCCTCTCTGTCCCTTTCTCTCGCTCGCGCAAACACAGCTTCCTCTCTCGCACGTCTCACTCATGTCCGCTGCTGCGGAAGCTGTACATTCTGTCGGCGTCTCCTTCTCTCTGTTCGCCCCCCTTTCCCTTCTCTGCAGAGGAACAACAGGCTGCATAAGCAGAGTTATCGCAGGTCCACGAAGATTCTCTTGGATCGGCGCTGGACCCCCCTTCCTGGCTAGCGGAGCCCGCCAGGAGCGGCGCTGAGCGCCGCGGGGGGGGGGCCCAGCGCGTATCCGAGAAACCTGCGCGGAACACCGAACTGTTACGCTTATGCTGTCCTTCCTTCTTCGATCCTCCCCTCCCCGGCGCCGTACAGGCGGCCACTGGCGAGCACCCCGATGGCCGCCACCAGCGAGTACAGCAGCGCAGCGCGCAGGCACCGGCGCGGCGCCGCGCCCGGCTTGGCCCCGGCCTGGGCGGCCTCCAAAGAGACCCTGCTCTGGACCTCGCCGGCCACGCCCAGCGCGCCCTCGCAGCCGCCCCGCGCGGAGCTGCTGGCGGCGGCGCCGCCGCGCGCTCCACGGTCGCTCGAGCTGGCCTCCGCCTGAGATGCGAGGCCAATTTTTATACACCGCCACCGCCCGCAATAGAAACTGACCGCAAAAAGGGTTCTATAGGGGCAGGGTCATGCCAGACTTGGGCGCCCGAGTTATCCGGGGTAACTCGGGTCCGGGGTAACTCGGGTTTGGATTCCCGTAAGACGAACCCGAGTTAGCCCTGACCCGAATTACCCCTGATGATTTGGGGCCCTGGACGCCCGAACTACCCGGGGTAACTCGGGTCCGGGGTAACTCGGGTTCGGAATCCCGAAAAACGAACCCAGAGTTAGCCCTGACCCGAGTTACCCCTGATGATTCGGGGCTCTGACAGACGACGCTGCGACGCCATGGCGAAAAGGAGCGCGGCGCAGCTCGCAGGCGCCGTGGCATGGGGAGTTCCTGAAGCAGAAACAGCACTTCTTGGTGGTGGTGTATAAGAATCGCTCATCTTGGTAACCAAAATCTTAAACACCACCACCGCGCGTGCTTTGATGAATTCAGTTTCGGTCCTTAAGAGAGAGGGGGCAGCCCTGTTTCCGTTGGCGGTGGGAGGGGGACTGCGGGCTTTTCACCAGAGCAAAACTGCACCAAACCGCATCGTAGATTACTCTCGATCTTGGTGGTGGTAGTCCTATACTGTGCTCGGATGAAAGGCAACGATCGGGTCGGGCGAAAGGGGGGGATAGCAAAGGGGGGGGGTGAGAATCAGCTCACGTAGCTGATTTTCCCGGCGCCTCCCGGCGCCAGAGGCGGCTATGTATCGAGGAAGGGGCCCCTCGGCGAGGCCGAAACCAGCTGCATGCAGCAACCTTCGTACCCCCCCCCTTTCGCAATCCCCCCCTTTCGCCCGGCCCGAAGCGACAGAAGGGGGGGCCGGCTCGGGGGGGGACACGTCGTCGATGGGCTATCGTGAAGGGAAACTGGGACACACAAATAAATACACACAAATAAAAAGATTCCCCATATTTTCCTATATTTTCTGGGTTTCTGTCTTCCCGTCCAACTCCCATATTTTCCTATATTTTCTGGGGAATCGAGGATTAATTGTGTCTGTGTGTTTTTTCCCTCCTGATATCGGGCCCACGCCGGCGATAAACGGGCGCGGCTGGGAACCGAGGCGTCCCCCCCGAGCCCGTCCCCGCCCCGGCTTGCTCTCGGGCCAGAGCGCGCGCCTCCGCCGGCCGCGCGGGGCGAGCTGGGCACCCCTGGCACGCCCTCGGCAGGGCGCAGCTGCTGGCAGGCACCCCCGAGGCTGGAAGCCGCCGAGAACCGACGGAAACGCCTCGAACCCCGAAGCTCGAACCCCGAAGGCCTCGAGTCCCGAAGACCTCGAATCCCGAAGACCTCGCATCCCGAAGCTCGCACCGACGCAAACGTCCGAAGACCTGGAATCCCGAAGCTCGAACATTGCCTGTCCCCTCCCCCTGGCGTTGCCCCTGGCCGCCGCAGCCTTCTCGTCCTCCGACGAGCGCGCCACGGAGCGCAGCCTGCTGAGCTCCTCCGCCAGCCCCGAGCAGGCCGCCTCGGCCCGGCGCAGCTGCATGCGCAGCGCCTTGTTGGCCTCGCGGAGGTGCCGCAGCTCGTCGTGCACGGTGGCGTTCACGGCCTGCTTCTCGAGCAGGTCCGACTGCAGGACCTGCGCGGCCTCCTCGAAGGACCTGCCGGCGAGGTGGTCCCGTCGGAGCTCGGGCCGGTGAGCGAGGTAGGCCTCGATGGCACGCTGCAGCGCCACCAGGGGCATCAGGGTTGTGGACGGCAGCTCGAGGCCCGTGGCAGGCGACGTGATGGCCTGGTGGGCCTGGCGCCTCTCCCGAAACCACCTCTCTATGTAGTCGCGCTCGTAGACGCACCCGTCCACGGCCGCGACCGGGTCCACCATGATCGCCGCAGAGATCGGGCAGAAAAAACTCTCCTGTGGAAGCCCAGCGAAAAACTCATACCACCAGAAACTGGTTCTTATCTTGCGGCGATGCCCTGGGTTATCCGCGGGGGGGGGAGGGAGGTCCAGGTGCTGGCGGACGTCCTGATCTTCTCGCTTTGGGCAGCCCCGTGGCCTGCGCGCACCTGTACACTGCGTGCCCCCTCCGGACCTGCGCAACCGACACGGTCAGGTTCTCCAGGGGGGGAGGGGGGGGGGGCGGGCGGGCCAAACAACCCAGGTCGTCGCTAGACCCTCCCTGCCCAGACCTCTTCCGGGGAGCTTCTGACCAGAACCTCGAGGCGAATCCAGCCGTGGCGACGAGGGCAGCCCGGGAGGCCCAGGGGGACCAGACGAGTAGTGAAATGTCGCGGAAACGGGAATCTTTGCCGCCTCCGATCTCCGGCACCGGCAAGAGCCGGATGTTCCCCTCCTTCAGAGGCACAAGACGCTGCGTAAACTTAAACTCTTGGAGGTCCGCGAGGATTTCTTGGATCGCCGGTGGACCCCCCCTGCCTGGCGCGCGGAGCGCGCCAGGTGCGGCGCCGGGGGCGCCGCCAGGGGGGCCCAGCGCAGATCCGAGGGATCCGCGCGGAGCTCCAAACTTTGGAGTCTGTGTACAGTCAACCCGCCAACGAAAGTGGCCAAGGATGGGCCGAAGGGGCAAGGATGCAGGGGTAGTCTAGGGAAGTGTTGCCCAGCCTTACTATGCGGGCTGACAGGGCATGGGCAACACACACGCTCTGGGGACGATGATTTTATGCTCGGCCAAGACTCTGCTACCTTGTCTGTATCCTTGCTTGCGCAGCGAGTTCGAGCAAACACACTATTATGTAGAGATGCTGTGCTTCCCGTCGACGCTGTGGCACTGATGCCGAGAAAACAATGCAAGACAATGCATCGACCAACCAGCCCCAACCTACAAACCACTATCGAGTCGCAGCGCATATGATGCGCAAGCCGCAGCCCCCTTCTTCGGAAGAGCTGTAGCTTTGTCGCACCCCGATATGTCCTCGTCGAGGAAGTTGCCCTCGATGCCGAAGCACCGGGCGGCGCCCTCGCCCCACCTGTGGAGGCAGCGACGGAGGGGGGAGAGGCATGCTCGGGGGGAAGGGACACCTCGAGCCTCGAGCTGGAGGAGGAGGAAGGGGAGGAGGAGGAGGAGGAGGCGGAGGCCAAGGAGGAGGAGGCGGCGGAGGCGGAGGCGGAGGCGGAGGAGGAGGAGGAGGAGGAGGAGGAGGAGGAGGAGGAGGAGGAGGAGGAGGAGGCGGAGGCGGAGGCGGAGGCGGAGGAGGAGGCGGAGGCGGAGGAGGAGGAGGAGGAGGAGGAGGAGGAGGAGGAGGAGGACCAGGAGGAGGAGGACCAGGAGAAGGAGGAGGACAAGGAGGAGGAGGAGCAGAAGGAGGAGGGGCAGGAGGAGGGGGAGGCGATGCATCGCCGACAGGTCGGCGACGGGACCCCGGTGAGGCTCCTCGACAGGGCTGGACCTAAACGTTGTTCTTCGTTTTAGTTTCGTGTTGTCTCTTGTGTTGCTCTACGGTAGGTTCGTGCGGCGTCGGCGCGCGCGAAGGTTTTTGACACCGCGGGGATCGTTCAATCTTGAATCGATCGCGGCCCCGATTGTTCAAGGTTGAATCTAGTCGGGTCCAATGGCATTACCGTGCCCATCGGTGCATCCGCGTCGCAGATTTCAACCTTTAACGGCTTCGCTGGTGTCGCCAACGCGCCATCGCCGCATGAACCTTCCGTACCTTAGGGGGAAAACAAACCTACCTCGCTTTTGACCACCCTCGCTTCCAAGAGATACCAAACGATGCCAAACTACGGCCTGTACTGGTCAGGCCGCTTGACGAGAAGGCGCGTGGTATGACTTGGTGTTGCCTGGGAGCGAAAGCGGGGTAGGTAATTCACGCTCCGATACCTGCCACCCCCCCCAAACAAAACAGCCGAAGTCTAGCAAAACAGCGTTTACATAGGTCCAGCCCTGCTCCTCGAGGGTCCTCGCCGAAGCAGAGGTGCACACGTCCAAGCGACGCCAGGGCATGGTCCTGGGGAGGTTCGGGCAATCGGGAGGCTATCTCGACGGCGAGCCCGGGGGGAAGTGAGAAAGGGCAGGCCTTCTCAGAAGGCGGCAGGGCTTCTCGGAAGCCCTCGCGCCTTATAAGAAGCTTTGTAAGCCTTCTCCAAAGGCGCGAGGACTTCTGAGAAGCCCCGCCGCCTTCTGAGAAGGCCTGCCCCCTCTCGATTCCCCCCTGGGCTCACCGCCGACTATCGTCGATGCATGGACAATCTGGGGTCGATGCCCCCCCCCCCCTGAGCCTATCCCCGTCCCCGCTCGTCTTCGGGCCATGACTCAAGCCTCGGGCGGCCGTTCTGGGCGATCCGGGCTGCCCCGGAACGCCCTCGGCGAAGCGCAGCTGCTGGAAGACGTCCTGAGGCACCCCTGGGCCTATTCCCCCCTGATCCTATCCTCGGGGGCGTCCAAGAGGGGGGCGTCCAAGAGGGGGATTCGCAAATCAGGGATCGGGGCATGTGCGCGGCCTTGAAATAAGAAGAGGCGCCATGGCCCCAGCTATGATGTGCACCCCGCCTCGTCATCACCACCACCTTGGTCGCCTCCATATTTTGCACTGCGATTCTAGGTTCTGTCAAAGGTTCGGCGCCTCACGCGTCAGGACGTGAAGCCGTGGTTGCGCTTGCCCAATGCCCGCTTGCCCAAGCGCCCAAGCTTCCTATAATACGGGTTAGGGATAATACGTAGCCTGTGCCTTCCCCTGCGGCTGGCACGTTCATATCTTCTATGTCTCGAGGCCAGCTTCTCTCGCGTCTCAGCTTATTTCGTGTCCGGCGCCGGCTCCTCGAACAAGAGCGGCGCAGTCGGGCAGTACCGCTCTTTCCACGCCCTTCCTTGCTCCTGCCCGCGCGCGCTGGCAGAAGGGAAGGCCATGGCCGTTTGAACTCGGGCCAATCTGAAGAGGCGGCGTGGCCGCCGAAAGCTCACCCAGAGCGCCTGACAAAAACAAGCTATCCCAATCACAGGCTTGAGTAGAGGCCTCCTAGACGGGGTCCAAGCAGATGGGGCCACAGGATCGCACCGCATCACCGATAATCGGCGATGCATCGGCGACGTCGGCGTCGAGATAATTGGGATGCACATTGAGCCGCATCGCCGATGCATCGCCGATGCGGCGCGGTCCTCCGACCCCATCTACGTCGACTCCATCTACAAGTTCTAGATCTACCTCCGCAGACAAGAAACCAAAAGGTACCCATACCGCTGCGCCCCGAAACCCTCCTGGGGTGCGCCCTGACCAGAATCTCGAGGGGACTCCGGCCGTGGGGACGCAGGAGGGGCAGCGGCACCGGTACTCTGGGTTTCTCAGTAAGCGTGAGGGGGTACCCCCCCAACGGCTGCCCGCGACGAGGGTCGATGTGGGGCTGTCGGTGGAGGTGACGCCCCCCCGACACTTACAAGGAAACTCGGAGTACCCTTTCCTCCTCTGGTCTTACGTGCAGTCGAACACCATCTGGGAGGCTCTGTGCGTGTCCGAGGAGGAGGAGGAGGAGGAGGAGGAGGAGGAGGAGGAGGAGGAGGAGGAGGAGGAGGAGGAGGAGGAGGAGGAGGAGCAGGAGGGGGCGAGAGAGCGCACCACCGAGGGGGAGCGAGCCGAAACTAACTCCGCTCGATGCACTGGGCCCTCCTGACGGGCCACATAGGGCCTCCAAGAGGCGGTCGCCGCTGCGCGCGGCGGCTAGCGTGGCAAGCCCCAGCCTGCCACTACTGGCATGGAGACCCGAAGAGCGCGGGACCACTCCAAGCGCTGGAACCCCGAGGGCGGGGACATACCAGCAAACATCGTCCTCGGGAGGTGAACGTTTTCTCATTCGACGTTTCGACATTGGGCGGAAGGGGGGGAGGAGAGGGTCTGGCTCTGGACCTCTGCTGAATGCGGCTGTTTGCAACAGTGCGTTCCATGGGGGAGACTCGAAAAGCCTACAAGAAGCGCCCAAACCAGCCTAGATCTACTCCATGGGGTGGGAGGGGGGCGGGGGTGCGAGGGCCCGCGTCGATCGGCAAAAGACGGAATGAGAAAACAGTCGCGCGGGAGATCGTCGTGCTGTCTCGTGGAGCCTGCCACTACTGGCTTGGAGACCCGCAAAGCGCGGGACCACTTGGGGCTCTGGTGCCCGTAGGAGCGGGGCCATGCCGGCAAACACCATCCTCGGAAAGTGGGGGGATCGACGTGTGTTGTCTCGTGCGCAGTCCGCGCGAGGAGAACGGCGAGGACCTCCCTCCTCCCACCCCCTCCTCAAGGAAGAGAGGGAGGAGGACCGCGAGGAAGGAGGAGGAGGAGGAGGAGGAGGAGGAGGAGGAGGGCCGCGGGGGAGGAGGAGGGGGGGGGAGGAAGGGGGGGAGGGGAGGAGGAGGAGGAGGAGGAGGAAGGGAGGAAGAGGAGCAGGAACAGGAAGGAGGAGGAGGGAGGAGGGGAGGGGGGGGAGGGGGAGGAGTGGCAGGAGGAGGGGGGGGGGCGGGGGGGGGGAGGAGGGGGGGGGGCCCACCTCTGGGCCGTAGTCCGCCTGTCGCGCCTGCCGCGCGACGGCGCGCCCGCGCGCTCCATGGCCCCTGTCGGGCCACGCGCGGGGGGGGCGATGGCGGGGACGGCAGGCGCCGCTGCGGCCGCGGGAGGCTCATCCTCTCCCACCCCCTCCTCCCCCCTTCCTCCTCCTCCCCCCCTCCTCCTCCTCCGCCTCCTCCTCCTCCGCCTCCGCCTCCTCCTCCGCCTCCTCCTCCTCCTCCTCCTCCTCCTCCTCCTCCTCCTCCACCTCCTCCCTCCTTCCACTCCCCTCCGCCTCCTCCCCCTCCTCCCCCTCCTCCTCCGTCCTCCTCCTCCTCCTCCTCTCCTCCTCCTCCTCCTCCCCTCCTCCTCCTCCTCCTCCCTCCTCCCCTCCTCCCCCTCCTCCTCCCCTCCTTCCTCCTCCTCCTCCTCCTCCTCCTCCTCCTCCTCCTCCTCCTCCTCCTCCTTCTGTTTCTCCTCCTGTTTCTCCTCCTGTTTCTCCTCCTCTTCCTCCTCCTCCTCCTCCTCCTCCTCCTCCTCCTCCTCCTCGGCGCGGGGGGAGGGTTCGAGCGGGGGATCGACTACAACACCAATGTACCCCAAGTTTGGTTTTCCTCGTCGGATCTGCAAGAACAGGAACACGTAGAATGCGCGTGTGGATGCACGCGTATCCCGCGCATGCTGCTTGTACGGATACATTAATATTGTATGCCGTCCCCTACTCGAGGAGTGGGGCGCACAGGTGGTGGAAGAAACATCGGCACAACATGCAAACTTTCGGCGCTCCGCGCGGATCTCCTGGGTCGGCGCTGGGCTCAGCTGGCGGCGCCTCTGGCGCCGCCACTGGCGAGCTCCGCGCGCCAGGGATGTGCGCCTGGCGCAGGCCCCGGAAACCCGCGCGGACCTGTACTCTTCATGCGATTGGCTCTTCGAGGATGGTCGGCGGAGGAGGGGGACACAGAAGGCACCACGTGGCCCTGTTTGGGGCGCACGCCCGGCGCGAGAATGCAGCACCACCATCGTGTAGCACACCGTCCCCCGAGCGGTATGGCCATACAGCGCCCACCCCCGAGCTGCGCCCGGTAGCAGCTACGAACATGCGCGTTTCGCCCCTTGCGCGGCGGACGCGCATATGGTTTTGCTATGTTATCGCGGTGCCGGAGGGATGGACGGAGGGGGCAGGTGCCAGCCGATATAATAATTACTCCCACCAGCCCCTTGGGCGAAGGTGGTCTGGCGAGTTCTTCCTTTCTGCTTCCAAACAAAAACCGCTCCCTTCGGAGAGGGTGAGCTCCCCCTCCCCTCCCTGCGGCTTTTTGGGGCTGTCCGCGATGTGTCAGGAGTCCTTTGTCGCCCAAGATGGCTCCCAGAGGCCCTCCTATGTTCCAGAATGGACCCCAAGGTGGCTCAAGATAGCCGAAGATGGTTCAAGATAGCTTCCGACGTGCCTCTCAAAAGCCCGACAAAGGCCGCAAGACGGATCCAACTGCTCTCGGAGCCCTCTCAATAACCCCCCAAGAGACCAAAATCCCGAAGATGGCCCAAGAAAACCCCAAGACGGCTCAACCACCTCTCGCGGGGCATCTTGGAGCCCAGAGTTGCGAGGATGTCTCAAGCGAAACGGGCCAGACCACCTCAATCCTGGCAATCTGGGAGTCTAGAGGCGTGAGGATGTCGCCGGGTCAGACCACCTCGCGCGCAGCACCTGGAAACCTAGAGTTGCGAGGAGGTCTCAAGCGGAACGGCCAAATTCCGGACACCTCGGAAAGACAATTGCGAGGATGTCTGAAGCAAAACAGGCCAAGCCATCTTAGAACTTGAGGATGTCCGCGTGCGGTGACCTTGGGCGAAGTTCGCTTCCACTATCAAGGCCTAGTAAGTCAGCAAATTGTTCTGGGACAGACATCCGCACCATGCTTTGTGCAGGTTGGGGCGTGGTACATCCCCAGGCCGAAAGTTGGCCCTCGTGGACTAAAATAATGGGAACGCCAATGGATCGATGTGGATCCCCTTTTTCGGGTGTGCGACAATGTCGTGGATCCTATCCTTGCGTTGCGCGGATCCAATTTCCCGTGTGTGAAAGAACCGATGGATCCATACATCTTCGGTGATAACTCGATCTGACAACTAACAACTAATATCCTGGACCCATGGGAAATGTGATCAGCGGGGCACCACAAGTAAAGCATCATGCTACCCACGGAACTGTGAATCTGCAGACCAGAGCTATGATTCTACGGGGGAGGGGGGGTCTTCCCAGGACAGAGAAGGGAATGAGGAGGGAGGCGGCACGAGGAGGGGGGGGGTAGAAAGGACGGGAGGAGGGGAGAGAGAGGAGGAACAATCAGGGAGGAGGGGGAGAGGAAGAAAGGGGAGGAGGATGGAGGAGGGATGTTGGAGGAAGGAACAGGAGGGAGGATAATGTGGGGGGAAGAGGGAGGAGGTGGGAGGAGGATGGAAGTGGGAGGACGGGGAGCACGAGGACACGCAAACCAAGTGTCAAGATCGGAAGCTCGAGCACCACAGCGGGCCTGGCCACCTCCCCTCCTCTCCTCCCGTAACATGTGGTTGCTCGAGCGCCACAGCGGGCCTGGCCATCTCCCGAAAATCCTCAGGTTGCTCGAACGCCCACAGGGCCCGGCCATCTCCAGCATCGCCTCCCATGACATATGGCACGCCCCAAACCGGAGAGAGCGCTACATGTATCCGCTCACCTGAACGGCAAATCGCTTCCGACATTTGGGACTCAAGAGGAAAAACTCTCGGACTGCGTAAGTATGATGCTCATCTGCTGGTTGGTCAACGTTCTTCCATCTCGTATAAGACCGACACCATCCCCCCGCCGCACCCGGCCTCCACAAACCGCCCCCGTCTCTCCAGCCGAAGTCGGGCAAGTTCCCAATTCTATCGGAAATCGAGCTGGCCTTGATAACCTGCTCCTGCAGGACAGCCCTTAAGACCCCCAACGCGTCCTGGTGAGGCATCGGAGAGGCCCCGAGAGGCACCGCAGACGACCCTGAGAGGCCCAGGAGACGGCTTAAGGGAAAGGCGGGGGGCAGGTCTGACCCCCACCCAATCAAGCGCTCACATGAGTCACGGCATCGAAGGTCTCATGGGTCGGCCCAGGAGGCCCCCGAGCCCCCCCCCCCCGAGAACCCTGCCAGAGCCCCAGAGGCCTCCCACAACGCCCCTAAAGAGCCCCAGCATGACCCAAACGGTCTTCAGGAGGCAAGGCTAGGATCGGGATGAATCGCTCCAGAGCGTTCCGGAGCGCTCTCAGAGCGTTCCGGAACGCTCTGGAGCGGCCGCGGCGCCCAATACATCCTCCAAACCCGCCGATTCTCAGAGACTTCGAGTTATCCCGATCCGATTTTGTCCCGATCTTCGCGTCGCGCTCCCTCTCAGCTTCCCGTGGACAAAAACGGCACAGCCGTATCAATAAAACGGCGAGATCCGGAATCAAGACTTGAGGGGCGGCGCCGGAGGCGCCGCCGGGGGGCCTGATTTAGTGCTTCGATCGTCGGGTGGCTGTAAGTGCGGTAAGAGCGTTCATCTTACATAATCTTAGTTAAGCCATAGAACGTACACTTGTTGATCGCGCATCTCATGTGTGCATATGCAATACTTATGGTGTTTGTAAGTGTAGATGTAAGTAATATACTAAGTTAGATATCTCTGCTAAGTCGATGGGGCTGAACATATTCGTGTTTTTGCTAATCATTTGCGTATTTTTTATTCTTAACTTTTTTGAAATCCATTGAATTTCCGTTGTTGTTGTTGTTCAGTTGTTCAGGACCGAGGCGCCGCAGGTACTTGCTGTACCTCGCGGCCGCGGCGCTGCGGGCTGCGCGCATGCCCGCGGGGAGGGGGGAGGGAAGGAGGAAAATGTTTATCCATGTGTCTTCGGCCCTCCCTTATCCCCCCTTTCCTTAGGCGGCGCACCGCCTTCTCCTCCGTCGCCTCGTCCTCCGTCGGCGGTAATCCGCCTTCTCCCCCCCCCATGGCGGCAATCCGCCTTCTCCCCCTCCGTGGCGGCAAACCGCCCTTCTGGCGGCAAACCGCTTTCTCCTCCTTTGGCGGCAAACCGCCTACCCCTTCTGGCGGCAAACCGCCTTCTCCTCCTCTGGCGGCAAACCGCCTACCCCTTCTGGGGGCAAACCGCCTACTCCTCCTCTGGCGGCAAACCGCCTTCTCCTCCTCGTGGCGGGAAACCGCTTCTTCCCAACCGCCCTATCGGCGGCTTGCTTTGCCGCCTCCTTCCACCCCCTCGGCGGCAAGCCGCCCACCCCTTTCCCCCCTCCCCTCCCTGGCCTCTCCTTGACCCACCCTCCCCCATAGCTCTCTTCTTCCCCCCCGCGCACCCTTCGGCACCCCCTCCCCCGCCCCCCCTTCGACACCCTCTCCCCCCTGCGCCCCCCCTCACCCAGGAGGAGGAGGAGGAGGAGGGAGAGGAGGAAGAGGAGAAGGAGGAGGAGGAGGAGGGGGAGGAGGGGGAGGAGGGGGAGGAGGAGGAGGAGGAGGAGGAGGGGGAGGAGGAGGAGGAGCAGGAAGAGCAGGAGTAGGATATGTCCGTCGCACGCGCGTTGGCTCGATCCGTTTTTGGCGAGCCCTCCTCCGAGGGCTTCGGGCGGCGTGCGCGCGCGGGGAGTCGCGCACTCCGCTCGGCGCGCGGTCGCGCCGCATCGCTGCCATGGAGGGCATCCTTCGAGGCCGCCTGGAGGAGGCGCGGGCGGCGTTCGTAGCGCGCGGCAGTGCGACGGAGCACCTTCCTGCCTGCATCCAGGCGGCGACGTCCCAGCGCTGGTCGCAGCTCCAGAGTGCGCAGTTTGCTGCTTTGGGCGGCGGCGTGGGGTGGGCGCAGTCCGAGCTGGGAGACTTCTTGCAGGCTCTGTCGTCGGGCAGCCTGCAGGGGAGGAAGCTCCAGAACTACGAGGGGTTCATTGAATTTCTGACGCCTCAGTTGTGGGAGTTCGTGCTCTCGCCGCATTCGGGCTTCACTGCCAAGATGGCGGCGTTCTCAGAGCACCTCGGGGCGCTTGGCCTGAGGCATCCGAGCTGCCCGACGGCCGCCAATATGGCAGCATTCTTGTTGCTGGTGTGCAAGCAGACAGGCGTGGA